CAACCCTCGTTGAAGTCTTGAAAACCATGTATGCCAACAAAATGCCTTAACACAACACAACAAATGGACGCGAGCGTCCAGACTCCAATACAAAAAAAGCCTGACAAGCCCACATAGTTATGAAAAGCGCGCCTGAGGCGCAATCCGCGCGATGCGCTAGGGTAAGTGCATCAGCAAACTTGATGCGCGCGCTGTTCGTGATGCGCGCGCCTTACTGCGCCTCCTCGCATTATGCTCCGTTATGTGATGCGATAAAAGGCGCGCATCAGGAACATATATTAATTTATGTTTTTTTAAAGGTTAGGTTAAGGGATTATGTTAATATTTATTCCGCCTCACCCTTTATTTTCTTCACGTTGGTTTACAACCCAAAGAAGTTCAAACGACAAGTCTCTTCTTCCTTTAGTCCTTCGACGATCTCCTTCCTTGTTTTTTGTCTGCTTTGACTCTCTTCCTCACACCATGGATAACACTAAACTTCACCGTGGACAGTAAGTTAGTAACACAGTACCCCAGTCGCAAGTCACAACCAGTTACGACTCTCTTCCTCCCACCTATTACGGTAATTCTTTTCTCATTAAAGAACTTGTATTTTCTACACTGGTTTTTTTCTTAGATGTACACCGGTTCTCTATTTTTTTCAAACTATTTTTTGATGTACAATACATATTTTTTCTTCAGATATTTTTTTCTAGCAGATATTGTTTTCACATTTTAATTCTGCTCTTTGAACTTTATGGTTTTTAATTTTGTCTATGCCTCATTGGTACGATGTGTGACTTTCATTCTTGATTGATTTCTAAAACTTCATTATGCTTTTAAAAGTTTTATATATACTATAACTAATGCAGATATACTACATATCTACTAATATCCAATTTGCGCATTGTGTTCGTGATGTGCGCGCACAAGTGCGCATCACACATCGAGGCGCTAGAGCCCTTTAGTGCATCGGTGCGCATTGCGCCTTAAATAACTATGCAAGCCCAAAATAAGAGTAACTCTAAAGAAGCTAGAAAATGTTAGGCAATTTTGACCGGATGGCTTCAAGCTCTGCCATGGAGACACTGATCTCATCAAGCTGCATTCACAATTTCGCAGTACAAAAACTAAAAACATACAGCTACTTAAAGGGCATCACACATTCACATACCAGATTTGCTAATCTTTCTTATAGCATGCTTGTTCTTAGCATCAGCAACATAAATGTTTCCCCTAGCATCAACCGCAAAGCTCTTGGGCTTGTAGAACATAGCAGAGCTCAGATCACCATCCGAGTAATTACAGACTCCATTTCCGGCCAACCGTTCAGCAGAGACCTCTAAAACACTCAAATGTCAAACAATCAAACATCAGAGACGACTACCGCCCCAAATTCCACTTCACAAAACACAACCACCGTATCAAATCAATGAACTACCTCCAGAATCGGGGATTGATACAGTGTACACAGTACTGTGAGTGGAGTCCAGGAGGAGGAGATCGGACGATCCGGGCTTCGGAAGGACAGAGTGAGGATAGATTTGAAGCTTGTTTCCGTCGAAGAGTGTGCTGACTGAGTAGCCATTCTCGTAGAGAATTTCAGCGAAAGCTGCAGAATCGGGCATCGATATGAACATTTTTTTTTATATAAATCATAAAATAAGAGGGAGTTGAATGAACTGGTTAACGACGAAAAGAATTGAATGATTTACCCGGCGCAGGAATTAGGGCAGAGATGCAGAAGACGACTGAGAGAGCGAGAGGAGGAATTACGGTAGCCATGAAAGCTAGGTGATTCCGAGGAGATGAAAAGGCTAGTTATGAGATAAAAGTACTCCAACAAATTGTCCCTCATTTTATTATGCATCAATATTTTATACTTCATTTTATACTCTAAAGGTAAATCCGTATATATCGATATTTTATACCTCATTTTATTTTATATCCAAAAGTTATGCATCGATATTTTGTACTCCCTCCGTCTCCTTGTATTTGTCCACTTTCATTTTTGCACATTATCCAATAAACTTCTTTAATCCATTTTATCTTGTAATTTGTATTTTAAAAAATTATAAAAATTATATATTAATAATCTATATGTTAAGACAAATCAAACAAGATCACACATGACTATATTTAAGCTTACACATTGTGAAAATTTGATGAGTCAAAGTGCTTAGATGAACAGTACCAAAAGTCAAAAGTGGACAAATACAGGGGGACGGAGGGAGTATTAGTGTGATGATTAACATTGACAAAAAATGTTAGTGTAATTTTTCTTAATAGAACTAATTTTTCTTGTCCGTTTGACCCGTTTTTAATTGAACTAAAATGCTTGTTATTAGATTTACGGTGAGGTTCTAGCGACACCGGTTTTTGGTGACACTAGTGGTGATACTGTCATTTTGGAGCACTCCTAGTGCTCCTAAAATTAGACTGATCACATTATCACTTCATTTGAAGAAAAAGGTGGAATTGTGGAAACCTACCCATAGACCATTAGACCGTGCGCTAGGAGATGTGGGAAGGCTTTGAATAGTGATTAATTTGTGGTAAAATGATTTTTATAAAAGTTGAAAGTAAAAATATCATACACGGAGTATCAGTTTCTCCGAAATGATGTTTTATGTACAAAATAATAATGAAGATATGTAAAAGTTTGTATGCCAAATAGAATAAAACGATTATTATTTAAAGCAGAAGTTAAATTCTGAAAAGCAACGTATAGTATCTAAGTAATCTAACACTCTCTAAAGTTGGGGAATATTGAGAAGATATCACCCTAAATAAGATTAAACATAGAAAAATACCAAAATAGAAATTCCATGTTTTTATTTCCTAAATAAGAGTTCGTAATGTGGTAATGTAGCACTATACATGTGTATTTTAGTATACTTTTTGGTAATGTACATTGTCATGATTGGTAATGTAAATGTATTTTAACTCCTACTCCAGAAATAAAAAGATGGGACTCCTGTTCTAGTACACTTTAAATATTTTACTCTTACTTAGTCCTTTTTTCAATATTGAACTCTAGTATACTTTAAATGTTTTACTCTTACTTTAGTCCTTGAGTATTTCTCCAGTTTTGACTTTTTTTAGTTAACTGTTTTCAACTTTTGACCTATAATAAAATAAAAAATATATTGTATATCAATTAGATAAAATAATATTTTGAAAATATTATATATAATAAATCCAATAAAACTATATTTTGTTAGTCAGTGTTAGTCGTTGTGCCCACGTCTTAGAGGGGAGTGAATAAGGCATTTGAAAGTTTTTCGGAGTTTGATAAAAAAGGTGTTGGCAAATGCGGAAGCAATATATAAAATGCAAAAATAAAATCGTAAAGTAAAATGCACACCGATTTTATAGTGGTTCGGGAACTCCCTACTCTAGTAGCTCGAGGCTCCTCCTCAAGGATTTCCGAATCCACTAAGTCCCGGTCTCTTGAACTCTGTCAAAGCACCGCACTAGTTTGACAAACAACTCTTGCCAATAGGATTCAATTCGAGATTTCACCACGGCTATCTCGAACCGTTTACAACGAAGATTCAACGACTATCTTCTACCGTTCCTCCAAGGATTTTAAAGGCTATTTTTGAACCTTTACCCAAGGATTTATACGGCTATCCTTAACCGTTACAACGTGAAAATTTAACGGCTATTCTCGACCGTAAGAAGGTGTGTTTGAAGAACACAAACAATGATTCTACACAACGGCTAGAATATAAAAATGAAGAACAAAATTTAGCCGGTGTAGAAGGAAATTATATTCTCTTAAAAATACAATTCAAACTTATGAATATGAGACTATATAACTAGAAACACAAGCTCAAAGTGTGTGTATAAAAGTTAGGAGTTTAAGGCTCTTGAAATAGCCAAAATATTGAAAATAATGAATAAAAGAATGAACACATGTAAAATATAAAGGGAAGATGTTTAGAGCTTTGTTTCTTGTTGAAATATGAAGTACTGGGCCTATATTTATAGAGGAAGATGTTAATTAGCCGTTGGGAGGTGATTAGGGTTGAATTAATTCAAAAATCAACAATCAGGAATAGTGTTCCAACGATTACGGTACCCTGTCACAGTAGCTAGGTACCGTACGGTAGCTAGGTACCTTCTCAGGCCAAAACTCTCTGGCGGTATCTGTCCTCTTACAGTACCCCGTCCGGTAGGGGGTCCCGGGCTGACGGTAGGGAGTACCTTCTCTGCTTCTCAGATTGACTCAGGGTACCCCTTACGGTGCCCCTCACGGTACCTAGGAACTTAGTGACTATTTTGACAATTTTTTCATTTTTGTCCAAATCGTTTCCAATTTTATTTAAAACCTTTTGGATGTTTGAAAATGATTATAAAAGGGTTTTAAACATATTTTGTGAGTATTTTTGAGCTTGTGAATATATGTATATAAAATCATATCCGTACATCGGGTTCTACCTATATTCTACGCTAGTTTAGTGTTTCGACTTCATTTTTGAGAACCGAATCTTAATGGATTCTTGTTGTACCTGAAACACTTAAGCAAACGTTAAACTTTTATATTGTTTGTTAACATCAAAACACGAGGCTCAACAAACCAAGGCTAACAATCTCCCCCTTTTTGATGTTGACAAACAATATATTTCAAAGTGAGTTAGGCGAGAGTAAAATAATAAAGCAAGCAAGCTCCCCCTAAAAGTAAACATATTGAAAATACTCACTTTGAACATTTTTCTTGTATTTATTAAAAGTTTAAGTTTGATGCAAATAGTTGCACAAGAATGCACTCAAGTCATGTTGCATATGCACCACCTTGAAGTATACATCTTCTCCTCCATTTGTCAAAATTGAAAAGGGCATTTTGAAAATTTTAACCATGTATAACTTTTGGAAACCCTCCCCCTATCAAAATTAATCCTTTAATATAATATTTGAGAGTTGATAGCTTATAATTTTGACATGTGGCAGTTTTAGAGTTCTATTTTTTTGACACATAAGCCTACACGTGTCGATTAATTACGAAAGCTTCCCAGACGTGTCTCTCCCTTATAAAAATTCACAGACGCTATCCTAAAAGGAAAGAGTTGTTAGGGTTCTTATTTCTTGACATGGAAAGAGGTTCGACATAGAAATTTTTGAGATTCGACGTTAATTGGTATGTTTTTCAACTTCATATTTAATTTTAATTCACCCCGGCCCTATCTCTCAAATCATTCTTCATTTGGAATTCTTAGTCAATTCTGCTTTTGTTTTTTAATTTTTTGGCTCATTTAATGGCATAGATAGATATAATATTTTATAGATTGTGTTAATGATTTACAGAGAATATAAGTTTGGAGAAGAGAAGAAGAGAAATGGAAAATCGAGAGTTCGCTATGGATCAATGTTGAGAGCTCTCTGAATAGTGGTGATTACTTTTCATCCTTTTTTCCTTCTCTCTTTTAAAGAAATTTTATATGTTATTCTGTAAGTGTTGGAGGGGATTGGGATTTTATGAATTCCATCAATAATTTTATATTCAATGGAGCTCTTTTACCAATTCTAGAATCATAACTACTAGTCAACAATATTTGTTTCAAAAGACCAGTTTGTACTAATTCTAATCTTCCATTTAGCATTTTCCTATAATTAGATGGCTTCATGACCATATGGCCATATGGGCATCAGGAGCTTGATAAAGGGATCCTAAAATTCAAGTTGAAATAATGGATGCCAATTCCTACAAACCATTGCTGAGCTGTGGTTGCCTCTGTGTCTCAGAGGCCATTTGGTTGGATATCGGCGTCGTGAAGCCTCCTACTATATTTGCAAAGCACCAAAATCCAAAGTAAGAGCTCTTACTTCCATATCGTGTCCTAGAAAAATATTTAATAGTTTCTACTCACCGAGGATATTTTTTAAGTGCTAAATTCATGCAAAGAAACAAATAACCTTCCAACAAATGATGAGAAACATGCAAAGTTTGAAGGTAACTAACCCCCCGAACCTCAGAAGGCAATGGCCGAGGCAATCAATTTTCATAATGAACCAAAAATTGAAAACATAAAGCTCTATAGAGATTGGATGACACACTTCCAAAAAGCCTATTGCTTTTTAAATGAAGACTCTGGTGAACAAGGGTTTTTGTTTAAAATTGCTGCTATATGATTTGGTGCATATGCATTGCTTCCATATTTAATAATTCCTTTTCTCTAAACTTCTTCAAAAGTGAAGCATACAAACGTATTTGTATACGTAAACTTGATTATATATTTATAAAACATATTTTAAATTAATCTTCGTTGGAAGATGTTTGGTATACATATAAGAGTAACCAATAATGCATTTGTTTTTTTCCCACATAATCCATCATGTTTTCTTTTGTTAAGGCCTACGAAATGAAGGCTCACTCTTTTAGACAAAAGCGTTGATGATTATGTTATGAAAAAAATCAATACTTCATGGTTGAGTAAATGGGTAGTCAGTGGAGTGTTCACGTCCAACTTTGGTGAAACAACATCTGGATAAGTGATTTTGTGATGGCTGTGTGTGTGTGTGTCTTTACATGATATCTTATGTGAGCCTTCTTATATATATTTGTTTGCAAATACTATTTTTTCTACTACGACTACTTCTTAAGACAAACTCGGGTATTGCCATTGATGAAGATGACAATCTAAAAAGAAATATAAGTATTTATGTAGGTGATATTTGTGTGTTAGCGGATGCTTTCTTTTGCTATATGTTGTGCTTATAGCAAAAGCACAACATAAGAAGAAGAAGAAGAAGAAGAAGAAGAAGAAGAAGAAGAAGAAAAGAGAACAAACAAAACAGAGTGACCATATTAGGTTCCGATATGAATTTCCAAACCGAAATTCAATTCCAATCACAACCAATCACACATTTCAATAATCATAATCATGAATTCAAGGTTAATTGAACGATAATATACTAAAAAATATTAATCTACGAAGCAATGTTAACGAGAGATACAAAACCATGACTACCTTGTTTAAATTGACCAAGAATTCAAAAATTAGTTAGTGTAGAGATTTGGTCAAGCTCTGACGAACACCTCTTTTCGATCAGATCTGCCAAATTTGAGTAGATATAAGAGAAGTTACGGTTGTAATATTATTATTATATTACTATTATTATAAAATCAATTCATTTATTTATTAAGTTATAACATTTATTTTTTTCATTACTTTTTTCACAAAATTCTAAATTTGGCAAACAATATATCGAAGGTCACCTTTTCGGGAGACCTACCTACCAACACCAATATTGAATATGTTATATTGACTCTATGACATACATATATTTTATTCTTTTACTTTATTATATTTTCATTCTTGGGACAATCAAATCACTATGTTTTGTACCTCAGATTCATGCGCAGAATACACCATTAACTTGTCTCATCAAGACCTACAATTCGAGTACAAATTTGACTATAAAAAGATTACTTTGAAAATAACTCTTTTTAACACTCTCATTTCAGTTCTTATTTAGATTAGGAGAAAATCAAAATTGTGACTTGTCAGATATCCATTATTAAATTTTTATGGTATATTTCGGGGTGTTACAAATGAGGTCTCATGATGCAGACTCCTCGAAAGAGGCTATAAACAATGAAATGGATTCAATTATGAGTAATAGTACTTGGATTTTAAGTGATTTACCGCCTAGTTGTAAGCCAATAGGATGTAAATGGATTTTCAAAAGGAAAGATGAAAGTCTATGGTACGGATGATAAGTTTAAAGCTAGATATGTTGTCCAAGGATTCAAACAACATGGTATTGACTTCACATATGCACTGGTATCAATAATGACTACCATAAGATTGTTAATTGCTCTATCCGCTATTCACAATCTCGTACTTCAACAAATGGATGTCAAAATGTCATTGTTAAATGGTAAATTGGAGGAGGATGTGTATATGGAACAACCCAAAGGGTTTATAGGTGAAGGAAAAGAAAGAAAACTTTGCAAAGTTGTTAAATCTTTATATGGCTTGAAATAAACACCTAAATAATGGCATGAAAGGTTTGATGAAGTGGTTTTGAACATTGGATGCATGATAACTAAGTCAGATAATTAAGTTTATTTCAAATTTAATGAATAAGTTCAAGGAGTCATAATTTGTTTATATGTGGATGGCATGTTGATATATGGAACTGATCTGAGGCAAGTGAAAAAAAGCTTTCCTCTGTTCCAACTTCTTCTTTAAAAGATATGGGAGAAGGGGATGTTATCTTAGGATTTGACATAACAAATCATTGTGATAGTGTCACTTTAACACAATCTCATTACATTGAGAACCTGTTAAAGAGATTTGGGAGTTTAGATTTCTCTCCTTTATCAACTCCAATGGATCCCAGCGTGAAACTCGTAACAAATCGTGGGAAAACTGTATCCCAACTTGAATATGCTAGAGTTATTGGGTGTTTAATGTATGCAATGACTAGCACCTGGCTAGATATTGCATTTGCAGTAAGCAAGCTAAGTAGGCTTAAGTAATCCTAGCCCCTACCTCATTGGCAAACCTTGAAATGAGTGCTAAAATATCTAAAGAAAACTATGAGTTATGGCTTATGTTATAAGAGTGAACCCTTAGTGTTTGAAGGTTACTCGGGTGCACGTTAGATAAGTAATCAAGAAGATGATACATTTATGAGTGGATGATTATTTCTTATGGGAGGAGGTGCAATATCATGGGCATCTAGTAAACAAACTCTTGTCACAGACTCTACAATGGCTTTAGAATTTATAGCATTCTCATCATCTTGTAAGGGGGCAAAATGGCTAAAGGACTTGTTTATGGAAGTTCCAATATGCTCTAAACCTACGAGTCTGATACTAGTCCATTTTGATAGTGCAACAACTTTATCTAAAGCTGATAACTTCTAGAGTTATTGTAATTGATTTTGTATGATCAACCATAAACGTAGCAGATCCTTTTACAAGGGCAATGCCAATAGACATGGTGTACAAAACTACAAAAGGGATGGGCCTAAAGCCTATTGAAAATAATCACAAGGGAAAGAAAGCACACTAAACAAAGTGTGACTGACTTATCAAAATGTTATGGAAGAAATAATGAAATTAAAGTAGATGGGGGAAAGAACTACAAGGTGCCTTACATGGGCAAGGAAACTATGGATAAAAATAATATTCGGTACATAACTGTAGAAAAATACGGAGTGTTTAACAATTTTGCGGATCGGAAGCAAATTCAAACCATGTCTCATAACAACACAATTATTCATTTTAATCATAAATTCCACCACTACAGTCTCGCTCCTTCTACTGCCAGGAATATGCCAATCACTCATTCTGCCTACCTGCGTGTAGCAAATAAAACACACTACACGCTCAGCTGTGAAGCTGAGTAAGCATATCTAAAGCGTCGAACATCCACATAAATTAAATCTCAATTCATATTCAACCATTTGATATCATGCACACAGTATATGATTCATTCATGATATCCTCAATATTTTATTCAAAGTCATTTCGATATTCAATATCTCAACATTCAACATTCATATTTAATATTCAACATTTGTATTCAATTCAATTCTTAAACTTATTCTAGTTTAAGATATTCTTAACTAACCCTTAAGCTAAGCCTAGTTTAAGATATATATATATATATAATGGTTTTCAAATCTTAAACTTACCTTCGCTTAAGGTCAACCAAAAACCGGCAGCATAGCGTTCAGTTGGGTCGGGTGGTACCCCCAAACGAGAAGGTACTCAAGTTTGGTTCTTGGATCTCGTACGTACATTTTAACCATGGCCACCGGGCATCATACCCGCAAGGCCTAACTTAAATGGGTATATCTTAGAGTTCTTCTAGATACCCCTCAAAAATAATCATCACTATGGGTATATCTTAGAGTTGTTCTAGATACCCTTATCAATACATTATCTTTATGATTACCAATATATCCATTTTTTGTCATGATTTGATCCTCCATAATCATTTTATATCAGTGGGTTCATCATTCATAATAATCATTCATCATCAACATAATTAACAAGTAGCGGTCTAGCGTCGAGTGTTAACACCCTAGCTTACCGTCATGCATCAAACAAGATTCTTAAATTTATCAAAACATCATAATCATTTCCAGAAATCATATTAAAATTGATTATATTTCGTTTATATCAAAAATAAGATTTAACAGTTCAAAAATTAAGTTTTTGAATTTTTCTCTCGACTGACGGTACCTCTAATAGTACCTCGGTGTCGTGATACGGTACATCGGTACCGCCCAAATGGTACGGGGTACCGTTTGGTAGTAGGTACTACTAGAGGGAAATGTTGAGGTGCAGATGATAGCTATCCTACCATTACGACGGTACGACCCACCGTCCGGATGGTAGCTTGCTACCGTTCCGCGCGTAGTCTTTGAACAGTGTCATCTTCAACCTCTAGCCAATTTTCGGAAATGTCATTTTTTATCACCAAACTTCAATTAAACTATATAGAAATGTTCTCCAAGGTTCATAGATCATTTTGGTATCATTAGTTCATAGTTTTAACAACAAATTCAAGGTTTATGATTCTTAGTTCTTCAAGCATGTCAAACACAAAACTCAACCAAATGAGCATTTATGAACGTAGAAATGACCTATATGAACATTCTAGTCATTAGATATATCTACGGGCTTACTTTGAAGGTTAACAAAGATTCTGGCGAAAGAACGACGAAACTTCCGGCGAACACCACAGCTTGCTCCGGCGACTTCTCACGAATTTAACAACAGCACAACACTCCTCACACTCTCAGGAACTCACAGCAAGAAGAATTTGAATAAATGGTGAAGGAATGGGTTGAAGTGGTGTGCTTATAGAGTAGAAGGAAGAAGAAGAAGCCAATGGAGTGTTGATTCCTCAATCCTTCACCGATTTGGATTTGGCTTAATTGAACACGGTGTCGTTTGGTGCGTAGTATCTAATTGAGACTAATAGTTGGTCTCAGTTGGGATACACTTTTTTGTCCAAGTTTCTCCAAATTGAAATCCGATTGAACCATTGAGATCAGTCAAACTCTACATAATGATATAATTTTCATAATTTATTGACAAACTTTATAAATCACTTATTTTTAGGTCCTTCTTAGTAATTAATTAATTATCAATAAATTAATTCTGATATGCCTAATTTCGGGGCGTTACACACTATTCCCAAGGCCATCTCTCATTTGCTTGAGCAAAAGATGGCCAGGTTTTGGTGAGGAAGAGGTGGTAGCAGGCATCAATGGCTCAGTTGGGAGAAGATTTGTTTTCCTAAGGAAGAGGGTGGTCTAGGCATAAGAGATCTCAAAAGTCTAGAGAATGCATTTATCCTTAAACTTTAGTGAAATTTCTACGAAGGTAAGGGTTTATGGGTTAGACTAATGAGGGATAAATTTTGGAGGGATGGGGTCATGTCTGAGGCTCTCACTAATTCCCCAGTTTGGAGAAGGATCTCAAGGATTGATGAAACTGCATCTAATGCGTGTGAATTTAATGAGTATGGATTCCTTAGTCTGGTCATTTAATTTGATGCCAATGGTTTATTCTCCCTCAAAACTGCCTATGACCTTTGTAGGCCTAAGTCATCCATTGTGGCTTCCTTCAAATATCTCTGCAGGTCAAATTCATTCGATTCCAAACATGTTCTCATTGATTGCCCTAGGATTGAAGGAATCTAGCAACATTTCTCAACCTGTCTTGGTTTCAAGCACATTACTTCTTCTTCCACCAATCAACATTCCTTGGCACATTTGGAAGGAACTTAATGTTATCATTTATGAGGATAGGGCGGATTTTTCTACCGGAGCTCTCATGGATTCTATATCTATGTTTGTGAGGCAATGGCTCTTAGCTAAAAAAATTGCAGATGCTTGGCTTACAGCTAACAAGTTGCTGCCAGTGTTCCCTAGGGTTGCTAAGATTCAGGTGGTTAAGTGGTTAGCTCCACTAAAGGGGCGTCTCAAGTTCAAGATTGATGATTCCTTCACTTCCAAATCCAAGCGTGGTGCGGAAATTCTTCGTGATGAGGAGGGAAGATTCGCTCATGCAGCCTCCTTCCAAGTCGCAGGTTCCTCCCCTTATCATGCTGAGCTTGATGCTTCCATCAAGGGTATTAAATGGGCTCTTACCTTTTTTCCTCTACTGGTGTATGAAACAGATGCTTTGGAGATTTTGAGAAGACTCGAAAATTATTCCCATTTTGCTCAGTCTCCATCTCCTATTGACATCTTGGCTACACTTATTTTTGAGAATGACATTTTGAAGTCGCATACCCTTTGTGAGGAACCATCATGTAGATCTTTTACCTAAGGAGGACAGAGATAAAGATTGTCCTTTTATATTTTATTGTAATTTTAATAATTGTCCTTCATTTGTAATGGCCACTCTTAAAAATCAGCGCACTCCTTTTAACTAAATCATTCTTTTCTGTTTATATATATATATATATATATATATATATATATATATATATATATATATATATATATATATCTGTGTGTGTTTAGGAATGACTCCGGTGAGATGACATCTTATGGTAAGATGACATGTTTCAGTCAAATGACGCTAGAGGTCACCAGAGACCACTGCAAAGCTCACCAATGATCACTGCAAAACTCACCAATGTCCACTACAAAAGCTCACCATGATTTTTCAACATTATTTTTTTTCAAAATCTGATGGTTAAATGCTCACAAAGTCCAGTAACAAAGCTCACTGACTCTCATTGCAAAGCTCATAGAATATGTGCACAAAATTCACCACACTTTTAAGTTTAAAATGACTTTGAAAAAAACAAAGGGTGTTGGTGCTGGCTTCCAATTGCTCACAGGGTGTTGGTGCCGGCTTCCAACGGTGCATGATAAAATTAAAAAAATTAAAATGACTTTGTGTGCTAACATGAGAAATAATAAGAGGTTTATAGTAACCCAACAAAAATTACAATCCAGACAAATATTTTATTGTATTCAATACTTTTATATTGATGTTCACTTCCCATAATATATTCATGAAGAAAATATATATTATTTAAAATGAAGGATATCCATCTCTAATTAACAAGGCAAACACTGAGTGATGCTAAATTTATCTCTTAAGTTGTTATATTGACACCTCTCACTAAATTTTGTTATAACCACACCAATATGAAATTCATATCAATGGGTGTAGATTTAACAAAATTAAATGAGAAATGTGAATATAATCATTTAGCCACAACACCCACAAACAATTTGACAAGTGCAGGTACTTTTATTTTCTCCAGCATCAGAGCACACACAACTATGAAACATCGAGCTTGCTGGCCATTGAAATGATGCCAAATCCCCACAATCGATGTTAGCACATGCCCCATTTGCTGAGAATGATCCTGGGCAAAACTTAATGTCTTCACCTGGAAAAAACAAAAGTGGAATATGCAAAATAGAATCATATCTATTTGTTCAATGTATGCATTCTTAAGTCAAATGTCCTTTGGTTACTAATATTAAAATACTCACGTATTCAATGGTTTTAAAATCAAAACTCGGTAATTCATATGATTAATGTGTCATGCACATAAAATGGTGGTATTTATTACCTTGATGAGGCAATTCCATTACTATGTACTACCGGTAAAGATGTTATTTGAATTAATTAAGCATTACGAAAACATATATACCTAGAGATGGAAGAAGCATATTGAATAAAATTGCTAATGAAAGAATGACATATGCACTGTAATTCTTCATGGTCTTTTTCAAGTTATAATACGACGTTGACTAGTTGTGTTTTTTTATCATAAGATATCACTCTTATATAGGTATTGAAAATGAAAAACAATTCTAGAAGTCAAGGGAAAAGATAAGCATGCCACCAACCCCTTTGTCTTTAAAACATTACTTGAAAAAGAATACGTAGTATATAGCATGTTAATAAAAGAACGCAATCAATTTAATTATATGGATTAATACCATTTATGTTATATGCAAGCATGAATAAAATGCATGATACATGCACCATAACATAATTGACTGCAAATTAGGATTCCTAGTGATATTTTGAACTAGGAAAAGGGTCACAAGTAGGAGAAAATACTTCTACAAAGTACAACCAAAAAAATAATATACACAAAAAAATATAATACTCTCTATGAATATAGGTATATGTATAAATATAAGGACAAATAAAAGTTCAATATAATTCAAAAAACTAACAAATATAATAACAAATATTTAACAAATATAAACCACTAATTCCTTTGTACCTTAAAACATTTCCCGTTTCTCATTTCATCTGTCCCAAGAAATCATTTAACGGCTACTTTTTATTAAAAAATTACTTTTACCCCTAGAACATCTTACTCTACCTTTCACATAATTTATATTCACTAATACTCCAGTCATCACAACCTCTTTTTACCCATCACATCAGGTATATTTTTGAAAACTCAAATATGCCTTCTTTAATCCATTAAAAGTCAAAAGAATAAAAGTTTTAAGGGACGGAGAGAGTATATTACATTATATTATTATGTTACCAATTTCATTATTATTTCACTAATATTATTGATATATCACAAATACTGATTATATTTAATGCATAAAAAATTATTATTTAAGTTATCGAAGATGACATGATGGGAGATGATTATTTTATGCGTGGAAAGGTCGAGACACCGGTAGCCGCGTTGATTAGTGGGGTAACCAAGGAGGACGCAACGAGCTGAGCGGAGGGATAACTTTTGAGGTGCAGTGGCAGAGGTGTTGGGATAACAGAGACATCGAAGACACGAAGGTGAGCGTAGTCTGGGGGAACCAAACAGGGCCTTATGCGGGGTGCGGTTTTTGAGAGTGGTGGTGGGTAGAAGGTTGAAGAGATCGCAGGCCATATTTAAAGCTTCAACCCAATAGGAGGGGGGAAGTTGGGCTTGGAATAGAAGGGTACGAATTGTGTTATTTATGGTATGGATGGTGCACTTAGCTCGTACGTTCTGTTGACTAGTGTGAGGACAAGAAAAACGAAACAAAATACCAAGGGAGTTAAATATGTTTTGTAGTGGGGAGTTTCGATATTCTGTCTCGTTGTCACATTCTACTGCTTTAATTATTGTACTAAATTGATTTTTCACATGGGCAATGAAGTTGGTGAGATGAGAAAAGGCATCAGACTTATGACGTAAGGGAAACACCCACAAATAATGTGAAAAATCATTTAACAGAAGCATATACCATTTAAAACCAGTGACACTAAGAACATGAGATTGCCATAAATCTCTGTGTAATAATTGCAAAGGAAACATGGAAACACGACTAGACGCAGTAAAAGGAAGACGAACATGTTTGCCTAACTGACACGCATGGCATAAAGAGTGCATAAATTTTTTATTAAATAAATGGGAAAGACTGGAGACTCCATGAAGGACTGCAGTGCTGGGGTGACCCAGACGACGGTGCCAAGTTTCTGCAACGGAGGCAATGTTGACCTAGGCGGCTAGATCTGGGAGTGCGCAGTGGATAGAGTGGGTCATCATTATTGGACCGATAGATCACGACTCTCGTCCGAGGATCCTTCACAGAAAAACCATGTGAATCAAATTCAACAATGTAGTTGCTATCACGGGTAAATTGTTTAACGGAAATAAGGTTATGAATAATATGAGGGGATATGAGCAAATTGTTGAGGGAGAGGGGTGGGGAGGTGGAAAAAATGTGTGTTCCAGTAGCCGTAGTGCAAACTTTAGAGTCATTACCAACAGGTATAAATGTGAGAAAATTTAAAGTTTGTGAATTAACATGAGAAATAGTACCTAGATCAGATGCTATGTGGTGTGATGCCCCGGTGTCCATGAACCACATGGGTTCACGGGGAGTCATGGTGTCAAATTGGTGAGCAAGGGCGGTCGGGGTTTGGGTTTGGGGGCTGTTTGGGTTGAAACCAAAAGTGGGCTGGGGTGGGGTGTATGGGTTGTACAGGTAAGGGGCTGGATTGGAGTTTGGGTGGGGCGTATGGGTTGTATGGGTAAGGGGCCGAAGTGTCCCCCACGTCCGCTGCTGCTTCCTCCCTGTCCGTCGTTGCCTTGTGGAGAGACGCCGCTACTGTGATGGTACGGATGCCCCGCGCGCGGCCCACTGCCATGATGGCCGACGACTGCCAATGCCGTGGAGTTGTCGGTGGTGTCATCATTGGGGTGGCGCAGCTGCTCGAGGAGGAGGAGAGCCAAACGCATCTCCACGAAGGTGGGCGGGGGCTTTTGAAACTACAGGAAGGATGCTCAAGCACTGAGATCTTCCAGGAGACCACGCAGCACTTGAAGAACCAATTGATTGTCGGTAACTGGGGCATCAACAAAATTGAGCCAGTCTGCGATATTGCGGAGATTCTTATAGTATGTGGTGAAGGAGGTCAAGCCTTTAGTGGTTCTAAAAAACTTGTGTTCATGTTGCATGGCGCGAGCGGGTTTATTATCGTGAAATAGATGATGGATGGGCTTCCAAAGATCTATCGATGAGGTGGTTGAGGAGATGATGAGATCCGAGACTTCGTCCGTAATAGTGGACAAAATCCATCCTTGAATTAGGGCATCGAGTTGAACCCATTTGACGTCGTCTTTGCTAGAGGGAACGGTTGTGCCTGTGAGAAACCCCTCTAGATTGAATCATCGAACCAGTAGGAGGAAAAGACGGCTCCTTTTTTTGTAATTGGGTTCAGAAAAACTCAAGAGAACAGGGACTTGAAGTTTGACGTTTGAGACGGTTGTGAAGGAGAGGTGGGGGGATTTTCCGTGATAGGGGTAGAAGAAGAAGGTGTTTTGTCAGTAGACATAGTGATGGAAGAGGGAGAGAGGGAGCCGGTGAGGGAGGGATGGGGCCGTGGAGATGGCGGCTGAGGTAGGCGACGCCGAACGAGATCGGCAGAGAAGAGAGTCACCGCAGAAGGAGGGAGAATTCTAGGGTTTTTTTGTTTTGTTGTTATGGCTCTCAAACCATGAAAAGATTCGTAATATTAAATCTCAGTAATCAACAAGAGTTCCACCTCCCGTCTATATATATATAGACACACACACAGATGGAGGGCTACATGAATAAGGTAAGTAATTAATGTAGAGATCTTATACAATACAACTAGCATAAATATATAATATTAAATATGTAAATATTTAACACTTCTCCTCGCTTGAACAAAAATGCGAAAGTGTAGAAGTAATCGAAATTAGGTGAAATGGTGTTGGACAAGGGTGTAATAGATGTCCTCTAAGCTTATTAGTAAATTTGGGCCCGTTTTTAACTCCTGGTGACTTTAGTGTGCGATTAAACTCTTACACCGTCGAGTTTTGGTGTGGGAGAAATGCCTGAGTTTGATCTAAAGTTATGTACACTGTTGGTCTGGATTAGGGTTGCAAGCACGTTTTTAGTGAAGATCTCGAAGAAAAGTATAACAAGCCATGCAAACAGGGCTTGAGTTACCTAGAAGGTTTACATAGTAAGATTTTGTCATTACTATAGAAGAAATGGTCGTCTGTTGTAAATGACTGATGTACTTTTTTTGAAGATTTAGTGGAGGGTTGTTACCTGAAGTAATGAATGTAGGTCCTGCAGAGTAAAAAAAATTGTCCAAATTGTGTAAACAATTCTTTGTGCACTATTTCCCGTATTTGTTGGTTTATGTAAGTGCTTGTTGCTATGAAGATGCTATAGCACTTTATCTATCATCCTGCTCTCTACACCTTAGTCGTTCTCGATCAGAGTGATTGTTCCAATTTTTATTTCATTTTATTATAATTTCTTGTATTTCCACTTTTTGTTAAGGCGAAACAAAAAACATGGGGCTTATGTTGAGTAGAGTAGGACTCGGTCCAATTGAATATGCCCGACCCATTTATTGTTAGGACCATGCTACACTTACACTAAAAAATATACCCCATTTGTACACCACAGGTTTGCACAAATATTTCGATGGTTTACACCGACACAAGTGTTGGTGCGTTAATAAAAATTCACATGGACACAAATGTTGGTGCGTTTAACAAAAATTAGTTTTACACCAACACAAAGTGTTGGTGCAAAACTGTGGGGTACAAACCTTGGGGTACACATAGCATAATCCTTATTGTTAATATGTAGTTGTAAATAAGCCAAAGATGTGCATTATCCGAGGAGTAATGCTAGAGTTAAAAACAAAACATTCACAAAATTCACAAGCTTACCATTTATGTAAAATAATGGGTTCAAATAATTGTCTCAAATAATTAAAAATAAAAACTAAAGTACATAAATGGTAAGTTTGTGAATTTTGTAAATTTTTTGTTAATGACTCTAGCATTACGGTTATCCGACTACCACTAGAGACCTGCGTCAATAGGGATGTATGTACTAGTATTACCTCTATCTTAGAATATTGTTAAGTTTTGATTTTTTTCAGTAAAAATTGATAATTTTTTATCATTAACAAAATAAAATTTATATTAGATATTGCAACAAAAATAATTTTCTTTTAGATTTATTTTATACTCGTGAAATATTTTGAAAATATTATTTTATCTAATTAATATATCATTTAATTATATGCCAAAGATCGATCTTAGTTGACTGCAAAAAATCAAAACTAGACAAATATTGTAGGACGAAGAGAGTAATAGTTCGGCAATTGAGGCATGAGCCTGTGTGGAATGAGCCATTTGGAGAGCGTAAGAGATATGGGTTTCCATATCTCTCGATATCAGATTTCATTTTTGTTGTTTGGTGAGATATAAAAAGAATTCGAATTTGATATCTCCAAATATTACAAATCCTATAAATAGAGGATTTTGATATCTCTCGAATTGTGGAGATATCAATTAGGGATTTGATGTCTCCCTCAACTGTCGACCATCCCCGCCACTGGATACCACTTTCATCGCCAACCACCCCCGTTATCGGTGACTCCTACATATCACTAATTAAAGGCTCTTGATATATACACTCCAAATTTTACTAGTTACACTCCACCTTTTATATGTTAGGTGGATATTGACCAAGTTACCCCTTCTTTCACAATACCTTTAACTAATGAATTTTATTTTATTCAAATATATTTAAAAACTAACATTTCTTATTGAACAACGTATATGTTTTTTTCTACTAGTATTTGTTTTTAAATTGAAATTCATAGAAATATAATTTGAAGAGCTTAAAACTCTTGTCACTAAACTACAATTTTGCATATGTACGTGAAGAATAATATATTACGACATTTTACTAAACTTTTTTCATTCCAAAATTATAAGTTTGAGTTTGACCTTACATACATTAAGACATGCAGTATTAAAAATGACATTGACTTAACCTTTTATCCTTGGTACTCCGTATAAAAATCATTGAAATAGGAGAAATTGTTTAATGTAATTGAGAAAAGTTTTTTAGAATATTTATTTCTGATAGTTGTTTGTTGAATAAATTTTAAAAATATGTATTATAATTTCATTACCCCTAATAAAGTTTGGATAATAATTTAATAAGTGTAACATTAACGTTTTTAATACATAAAAAAGTGATGAATTTAGTTTTTAAAATTATATATAGTGAATTTCTAGGATAGTTATTTCTAGCCTAATGGTTTATCGTTGACTAAATATTTAAAATAAAATATCATGGTTTAATTACTCTTATAAAGTTTGTGTTATAATTTTATACGTACGTATAAGGAGTGAATTTTTATATGGTAGTGTTTGGCAACTTGCATTTTATTTCAATTCATGCATATCAATTTCAAATTTTAAAATCTTGAATTTCAAATGACAAGAGAAGGTGCATGAATTTAAAATTAAGCTTTGTTATGAATGAGAATAATTTGACTCAAATCGAAATTCAAAGTTTTTAAGTTTCCAAAACATGGAAGTTGATCCTAATCCGGATTTAAAATTCAAATCCATGTTTTCAAACATACCATAACATTATTTCTAATTATTGTTTTATTAATAAATATTCAAAATGAGATATTTCTTTATAATTTTTTAATACTCTGTATAGTTTTATTATACTTGATAAAGTGCACAATATCTACTCCATATTAAGTATAATAAAGTACGTTATAATAAAATAAAATATTATTATAATTTATAAATGAAATGTCATAATTTTGTTCTATATAGTATAATGAGATTAGAATCTAGAATACGGATCTCAATAGAGTGCTCAATATGTTAAAATAAATTCAATTAAATGAATTATGAAAGAAAGGGCAACTTGGTCAATATAAACAAGAATTATTAAATGTGGAGTGTAACTAGTAAAATTTGGAGTGTATATATCAATAGCCCTAATTAAATCATGATTTTAAATCTTCCAAACAAATTCATTTCAGATTTTGAAACATATCATTTTTCTGATTTCAAAATTCATATCACATCATATCTCTAAAACTCAGCAAATAGACCCTCAAAGCGAGACCCATTCGATGGGTTGCTATAAAGATATACTATGTTCTTGTCTTTTTAATGTTTTCTCAGTATTTGCAAAGCATTTTTGTCTCTAAAAATCTTTGAACTTTCCTTTTTTCTTGTCCCAAAATTTCTTCTCTTTTTATTAAAAACTTACTTTTACCTCTTCTAATTATTACTCTATCTATCACATCATATCTTTTACTAATAATTTACATATCATATTCTACTTTTACCCATCGGGTAATTTCGAAAAATCAACACAAAAATATCTCTTCTTTAGTCACATAAAAGTCAAAATGAGAACGATATTTAGAGAGCAAAAACTTTTTCCGAAAAAATACGGTTAAATATATAATTAATTGTAGAAATATGTACGGTGGACTTCTAGTGACACCCACTTTTGGTGACACTAGCGGTGCCACTATCATTTTGGGGCACTTCCAGTGCTCCATTCGTAAAATTGACGGTTCATACCCCCCTAACCCACCCCTTAAACCCCCTACCTTACCCCCTGCACCACCCCCTACCTTACCCCCTGCACCCCCCACCTCAAGCCCGCCATAAGCCTCCCACAAAATGTGTGGCTATATTATGCATTGGGTGGGGGTGCAGGGGCGGAGGTAGGATAGGGGTTTTAAGGGGTGGGTTAGAAGGGGGTATGAACCGTCAATTTTACGAATGGAGCACCGAAAGTGCTCCAAAATGATAGTGGCACCGCTAGTGTCACCGTACTCCGATGTCACTAGAACCTCACTGAAATACGTATGAGAAGATCTTATATTGTACTCCCTAATAGAGTACATACTATTAAAAAATTTAAAAATGTTGCATCATAAGCAATAAAAAATCAATTAAGTTAAAAACTTAATACTCCAGGTAGGAGGGAGTAATATTTTTGCCATCATACACATTCGATTATTATATTGCCTCTTATCTTACTATATACAATGCTAGGATTGCCTTTTGAACAGTGTTCCCGTCAATATGAAGCTGCTGGATTGGGCCGAATGGAGTGGGCCGGATTATATAGAATAAATGATGGGTATTTATGTGGGTAATTAATGTGTTGTTTAATCAATTTATATGTTGTCCAATCACTCCTTGATTCTATAAACTTATGCGTGGCTCCATAAAGCAAATTAAAGTGGTGCGTAGCTCCGTAAAGCAAATCAATTATACTTACAATCCAAGCAATTAATTAATGCAATTATGGATGGACGTGCGTGTGTACATATATAAAGTAAAATTACTTTCATTGGAAAAAATGATACTTTACGTCAAATCTATCACATATAAAGATTTCCTCTATCTAGGCATTTAATAAATTGGTTAAAAAGATATATATATATATATATATATATATATATATATATATATATATATATATATATATATATATATATATATATATATATATATATATATAGATATATATATATATATATATATATATATATTGTCATAATGACCTTGGGGAGCATTGGTAGCTAAGAAAAAAGTACTTTTTTCAAGTCATTATTTTGCACGCTTATATATGGTAGGAGAGCTGGCCATAATGGCCTACGGGTGGGTATTAGTAGCTATGTAAGAAGTAGGATGTAAAAGAAATACTTTTTCTTTAAAAGTCTTCATTTAGCACGCTTATATATAAAGATAATGCTAATAAAGCTGGCCTAATTAGTGAAATTGTGCCTTTTGAGACTTGGCACATTCCTACATGCAATATTTCTTGGGCATTGCATATGTAGAGATCTCCAAATCTTTAGAATCCCGTGTCAAGGATTCATTCCCCCCCAAAATTTCTCTTTAAATACCGAATAAGAAATTGCATGTGTCAAGTACTGATTTTGCACCACCAATCCATGAGTGTGTAACCTACAATTTAAGTTCAGTTTGATATCAATGTAAGGCAATCAAAAAATGTGAGCTTTGATGAAATTCCTCTTCTTTCGTGCATTGTTCAGTATACTTCCTGTTTGAAAAATGTTCTTTAAGCCTTTTTAGACCATATCATTTACAATGTTGTATTAAACACATGAATATTTTATAGAGCTGATTAGAAAGAAAGCAAGTTAATTCATTTGAGAGTGAATATTTGTTAACAAATCAAAACTTATATGATTTTCAATTCAATTACAGAGAGCTTATACTGAGTATTTGATTAAATTATATGTTGTATTTAATCATCTATGAGCATATTTCAAAACTTTACCAGGAAATAGAAGCTTGAAACATATGTGTAAAAATATTATAGAGTACCTGCAAATGAAATGTAAACAAATGAGATCTGAACTGTAACATTATATGAAAAAATTACCAGGTGTATATTATTAGATTTCTTAATTTTGCCACAACTTTTGAGGAATACATTTATATGGTTGCCCACTTCATACTATATAATCACATTTACACACCTTAGAATAACGTCAAAATGGCATACTTCAATGCAAGGAAAGCAGAGTTCACAATTATTCATAGGAAATCATATTTTAAGATCTTCTACACTATTCTTTCAAAATATATTGTATTTCCTTATGATGGTGAGAGTTTTAAAGGTATCAATGTAAACCTATTTCTTCTCGGGTTTAGTAGTTTTATAATTCAAAATGCATTTAAAGAATATTGAAATCATCAATTTTAGTTTTTCATAGATCTAATTTCTTTGCTCTAAATATTTCAAATACTTCTTCTCTTTCTGTTGAAAAGTCTACGTTTAGATCAGAGTTTCAAAAAGATGACTTTAAATTTTGAATTGGTGGTCATTATATCTTTCATGTTGGTTCATTTTTATTCTATTTGGGAAAAAACACCTACAAAAAAGATAAAATTTGAGTTAAGGCACCTCAAGAGTTCATGAAATCTCGAGTCATTACCTTTATTCTAAGAATTTTTCATATGAGATCTGTTATTTTTATTTCTATTTTCAAACAAATTTACACCCTTTTTATAATTTAAACTTTTTCGTGAATAAATGTGCATTCCATTTTTAAAAAAATAACAGAGTAGATTGAAAACGAAAATTCAAAGTAAATCAAGAATCAAAGCAAAACACAACCAAAGTGTCATCCTAAAAAATAAATGTACCTTCGAAATAATAAATCAGATTCAAAAATCATAGAGAAAAGGCTATTAAATCCTAAGAAGATATATGGTAGATTCATACTTATGTTGCCAGGATCTGAGAAACACATTTAAGTTTGTCATATATTTCATTTATTTCTTCAAAAAGAAACAGAGATGCATGTCAAAAGAATAGATGGTTTTCTTTTAGGTATGAAAAAACTTAAAACTAAGAATTCTCAACCAAAAAATTGGAGATGAAAGAAACAGATATAAGAATTTATCGGCAAAATTATATAAAATCAGGGATTAGTACATACTCGAAGAACGAATTTGAAAAGAAATATGCAATTCAAGATGAAACGCTTACATAGCCTTCCAAAACGACTCTGTTTCCGACAGTCGTGCAGAAGCCTCACCGGGTAAACCAACCTTTGTATGGTTGAAGGCTAGGCAAAGGTCCAAGTTCGGTGCTCACGACCGGCGGCATAGATCGCAGATGGTGAAACCCTAGAGAGAGAGAGATGAAACGGCGCATAGATGACAAAAAATTAGGTGGACGAGTTTGGTCAGTGCATTACCCTAAATTGGGAGGACGAGTTTGCTCACAGCCCATATTTGACTTCACACAATTAATGCAATGCTTTTTATACACCAATATTTTAATGGTTTACACCGACACAAAGTGTTGGTGCGTTAACAAAAATTTACACTGACACAAAGTGTTGGTCCGGTTAACAAAAATTAGCATTACACCAACACAAAATGTTGGTGCACACCTACGGTGTACAAATAGGATACAAACCCTTGGGGTACAAATAGCTTTATCCAAAAAAATACATAATGTAATATCAATATTTCTTTTTAAACAAAGTTTTGAAACATTAAAACTTAAAAAAATATAACTATGTTTAAATATCAATATTAATAGTCAAAATGATACATTAGACACACGGGCAAAATCAATGAAAGATTAAAACCACGGTAGGGTAAAAAATGTCATTGACTAGCCTATTTTACCTTTTAAAATAAATTGATAGAAATAAGAGAGAGTCAAAATAATTTAAAAGTTAGAAAAAGTAGATGAAATTAATTAAAAATTAAAAGTCTTTGAAATATGTATGTAAAGAGTGATTGAAAAACTAAAAAAACGACGAAGTGCATGTAATATTTTATTCTTGATGAGTCATTTGTACAAGATAAGGTAACAAGACTTCAATTTTGGGACGCGAAATTTAAAAATATGATTTTAATTCTGGACAAATGAAGTATACTTATTTATAAACTGATGTTTTATCTTAAAAATTAAGAACACAATCTCTTAAACTTTATTTACAAATTGTTTTTACTTTTTTATTTTCACTCAATTCATTATCACTCAACTCATTAAAATTTTGACTGAATCAATTTTAATTTTAGGGGACAAATACTCTTTTTGTGCAAAGCACGAGTAAGGAATCTAATTATATAGAATGCTAGGATAGATTTGTAAATAGTGTGCCCCCTAAGTGTATAGGCTACCTATTCGGTTTTGGGTCTGAAAAAATGGCTTGAATAATGGGTAGAGATATTTGCTTTGGATCCACATGCAATGTAATAATGTTTTATAGATATTCAAGAAAATAAAAGTTGGTGTATTGCTCAAGAAAAACTTCATGTCAAATTAAATATAACATATAGATTGACAAAATCCAATGATAATTTAAGAGGAAAAGTTGGTGTGTGACTCTATACAAGTTTTATGTCAAATCAAATTAAATAAATAGATTTATCAAATCCAAGCCTTTAATGAATATATTCATTGTCCAATTATATATACCACTTTATTCCTCCAAATACTCTGTATTTCATAATAATCTTATCCCAAAAACTTTTCCCTTTTTTCGAAATATGTCTCAAAGACATCCAAAGAGTACGTGGAATGTCGTTGCAAAGATTGACAATAGTCACACAACTTGAATGCTTATGTTACGAGTCATTCATATTATTGTATATTTTCCTTTTTTTAATATTTGATTATATATTATTATGTTAATTTAATTTTATCATTTTCCTTCATCCATACTTTTTCCAATTATTTAGTTTAGAATTAGGCCGTGCAACGCACGGGTACGAGTCTAGTATCCACAATTGTTGGATATATTTATATACAGAGTAATACTTAACCTGCTGCCCTCTGATCTTTCTTATTATTTTCAACTCGTTACATAATATGTAGTTAATCAATTCTTAGATATCGGCATTTCACTACTACTCATGAAAAATAGGGGAGTTTTTAAGCGGAAGCTGCCTTGGTGGCGCAAAGCGCCGGATTCTGCTTTCCGGTGAAGGTGGGCTTGACATTGGTACAAACCGATTTCGCGGCGCCGCCGGAGAAGGTCAAGTCAATATCGCCGACGTCAACTCCCTCGCACGGCACTCCGCTGCTGCAGGCGAAGATCACGGCGTCCTCCGTCGCGGAAGTTCCGGTGACCCCTTTATAGCTCACTTTGCTGATCTTCACCTGCGACGGCTTCACCTTCGTGCAGGCGTTGTTGGGGCAGTACTCTTGATCTATCACGATCGGGTTCTTCACGTCTTTCATCGTGAGGTCGGTGTAGTGCACGTCAGTCACGACCCCGGGGTGGGAGTCGGGCCAGGTCTTGATTCTCACCCCATTGTCGGTCTTGACGAAGGTGCACTTCTCGAGGAAGACGCCCTTCACGGGCTCCTCGCCGGGCGTCTTTCCCAGACTCCCGATGCTGATCCCGTGCCCGGGCCCGCACGTCACGCCCGTGATGTGGAGGTTCTCGGTCCCGTCCCCGATCGAGATGCAGTCGTCCCCGGTCCCGATGGTGCTATCCTTCACGCTGACGTCCACGATTTTCGCGATGTGGATCCCGTCCGTGTTGGGGCTCGTCCCAGGCGCCGTGATGGTCACGTGGTCGAACGTCAGGTTCTTCCCGCCCAAAACGTTCACGTGGAACAACTTGCTGTCCAGAGACGTAATGTCCCGGATCAACGAGTTTGTCAAGAAATTAAAGCTCAAATTCTGCATACACAGATATAAAGTCAAAGTCAAAGTTAGGTCAAATATTGAAGAAAGACTTCATAGTCTAACGGCAATAGTTTCGTGCTTACGTTGGGAAGCTTATTGCAAGATCCGCTTTTCTTGCAATCGTTCTGCCCCCAAGATTTAGCGCCTTGGCCGTCAAAGACGCCGGTACCCGAGAGCGTGAACCGGTCGACATTTTGGACGGTGAGCCACTCCTTGGTGCTATCAAGGGTCTTGGGGTCATCAGGGGCTTTCAAGGTGGCTTGGTTTTGGAGTTCAATGGGACCCTTGCATGGACCGGAGAGTTGTACTTGGGTCATTGGAAATGTGCCTTTTGGGATCACAATGGTTCCTCCGGTTGGTGCTGCACATGCTTCTTTCCATGCACTCAACAAATCCTATATATATCACATTATTCCTTTTGTTAATTTTTATTAGTTCCCTTTGTCAAATTTCCATTCTGAATTTATATCATACATTACATAAAGGGAAAAATCTATTTGGTGAGAATGTTGGTGACAAAAGTTAAGAAGAAAATATTTCATACTCTGTCTCTGTCCCAAAATTATTGTTCCTCGTTTGATTTTTTTATAACTTTGACCATAAATTGTAGGAAAATGATTTTTAGTTTTAATATAAATTTAATAAAATTATATTCATTTTAAGATGTAGTTTTGATGTAAAACAAATTTTTATACGAGTAATATTTATTTATTTAAAAGTACTTTTTATTTGTTGTTAAAGAGACCACAAAAGTTTAAGTTAGACAATAATTTTAGGACCATATATTCACATTTAATTGAACATGATATCACTTGTGCAATATATTAAAAGTCAAATGAATGCAGACATGATGTATGTCCACATTCATTCCAACTTTTGATGTATCACAAAAGTCATAATGATTACCGCAACGATATCTGCATTTGGTTTTGCTGCAATAGTGATGACGGCGCTCTCCCCAGAATGTGCTACCAAGAAGATTGCAAATGTGAAGACAATAAGAAACTTGGAGCAATTCATCTTCTCTAATATTATTTTTCTTGTTTTTTTTCTTTTTACTTTTAATTCATATTTCATGAGATGTGATTGCTGGAGCCATTTTATAGTGTTTAGACTGTTTACAATGAGCTGCTTCCCAAGAAAATAGGGATTTCCCCTCTATTCCTTTGCAAGTCTTTCGGGATATATGTGGTTTTTCTTTGTTCTATTTAATGGTTCTTCATTAGTTTTATATTTGTTGGTTTTTATTTAATGGTTCTTCGTTACTTTTATATTTGTGGTTTTTATTTGTTCTTTCCATTTTGTTCAATAATAAGTAGAAATTCTTTATTTAGGGCACTTTGTGGTTTTTATTTGTTCAGCTAATTTAATGTTCATTCGTTTAATTCGTATTGGCTACGAGATTAAATTAAATAGAGTAGGAACCCATTTTTCAACCATTTAGATTTAAATTCTACTGCACTTATTACTTCGAATTTCAATTGTAAATTCAAATCTATCTCAAGAAAAATATTGTTAATTAGTAATTTTTTTGCCTTTTCTCTATCGCTGTAGAAAAAAGTAAGTCGAAAATATTTTATTGTAAGACACTTCTTCTTTTTAACATTTTGGAGAAAAGAAAAACTTTGACAGGTCAATCATTTCTTGATAAATTAACATTTTGAAGACTAACAAGAAAAATACATGAAAAAAATGATACTCCGTATTCATCATTAAAAAAATTATTTTTCGTTATACACAGGACCACATGATATAGTGTATGGAAAGAGTACAAGAGAGATTAGGAGTGTACAAACAAATACTCCGTAATAGAATTAACCCTAAATCTTCTGCACTGATATGGTTCAATATGTTGAAGACTGCAAAAATCTTTAATCATGCAAATGCTACCTTTTTGGCAAATCAGTACTGAAGACTTATAAATCTGCAAAGAAATTGCTTGAACTGCTAGGGTTTTGTCCTTTATTGCCATTGGCCTTCCTCTTCGTTGCTGCGAAGAAGAAAACACGACATTTTAACTGGAAAGCTATAGAAACTGTTATCACCAAGAGGCTAGCTGGTATAAATGAAAGATGCAAAACAGATGTACAATACGGTGCCCTGTTCGTAAATTTGGCGGTTCCTACCCCCTCTAACCCCCCACCCCACCCCGGCCCGATTGGTGTGCAATTGAAGGGGGTGGGGGTGTGTCTTCGGGTTGGGGTGGGGTGGGGGGTTTACCGGGGGGGTAGGGGGTAGGAACTGTCAATTTTACGAACGGGGCACCTTAGTGGCCCAAAGTCATCCCATGACATTGCCGGGCAATGTCACATGAACCGCCCCGTTCATAAATATATGTCATTAACAAGTTTGACTAAAAACACCATTCAAATTTTTATGTTTAAACATGCATATGAGAGCCTATTAAGTAATACATGATGACTACTAATACCAAAATAATTTCCCATGTGGTTCAAAATATACATCCTTGCCTAAGAAACATTGACACCAATCCTAGGACATGCCTATACATGGATTTTTAGAATTGAATGCTTGTTTTAGTAATTGCCAAACTATGTGGTGCATGTGCGATAAATTGGGTAAATAACAGACCTTTAGAAGATTTTGGGTTACTATCATCAACGTCCATCCCATCACTATCACTATTCGCTTCAGCTGCCTGGCTCGTTGATGCATCTCCAGAACTTGGTAGTATCTCATCCAAATCCCACAGCTGTATATAAAATAAAAATTTTGTAATAGAGTGAATGATAGATATGAAGAAGGATAGAAGAATACATATGCATATGGAATGTAATCGTTTCGTGAACTTTATAAAATTCACAATCGTACAAGAAATAGAATCAGATAATCAGAGACAAATGAACCTTCAATGTATGATCATGTGATATGCTCCCAAGATACTTCTTATCATATGAGAAAGCTGCAAGTATAAAATAACTACGAAAGTTACTAATCAGTAAAAAATTAACCAAACCAAGACAATGAATGCAAAATGAACACACAAAACATGGTGTGAGAGATTTATTCAATCTCATAACTTTAAAAAAGAATATAAGATTTCATGAAGTCGTACCAAGACCCTCAACGGGACATTCTGAATGCTCGGCAATTGGCTGGATTATTCTGTTCGGTAGTATGCCCACCAAACTAAACGGAAAACAAATGGATAATTAATAATATATAAAATCCAAGTACAGCTGACAATTCAGACAAAGTAAGCAGTTCTCTCCACCTTATAAGTCCATTCTCACATCCTGTGAGTACTCTATCTTCATCAAGCTTCACAATAGCAAACAATAAGAGATTAATGGATTTCCAATGTAGAGACTGTTAGCAGTTACTTATCACTATACTAAATCCAGATGCTATTGAAAGAACTACAACTGCGGAAGGAATGCACTGACTTTCAATAGTACATCCACTGAGTTTGGGGACAAATCAACGAACCGGTCACTGGATGAAAAAAGACACTACAATTAGAATGTGTTTTGAAAAAATGATGTTTAGATGTGAGTTCCAAGATTTCCAGCTTAACTACCTGCAATCCTTGAAGAAACCCCATGAGTACAAGAATAGATTTCCACCTTGTGTCCCACATATCACTTTTCTACCATTCTGAACAAAATAGAATCATGTTACTAAAATATAGGCTATTAGTTAAAGTCTGATGTCGTGACACGATTGGAAAGTTAAAACAAATATGAATGTACACACAAATGAATAAATAAACGATATATTCCCAAAAATATAATATCTACCTTCATAACAACAATTGAAAGCAGCTCATCTTCTGAAAAATCTGACCGAGTTTGAACCTGGAGGCCAGATAGAAATCAAAACCTCATGTAAATCCAGAACTAAGCCTCTGTGTGAATGCTTTAGAAAGACATCACATGGTGCACAGTCTTTCAAGCTTTAAAGTACTGGAATTTTTTAAAAATGGATGTGTTCCAGACAATGGTAGGCCTGTTATCTACCCACTCAAGTAATGTTACCAACATAGGAGGGGTTTACACTCTTGACCTGGTGGCCCTGATAACCACACAGATATACTTATACTTAAAATTGAAATGCATAAATATAACTATTACCTTCCCACTTCGTACATTGCAAACGGAGAGAGTCCCATCACCACTGGAGATAAATTTTAGAATTTTAAACAGACCATCAGAGTTCAATAAAGCAATTACATCACCCTAATACAAACTATGACTCTCTAATTGAAAGGCTTCTAATTCCAAAAGGATGCACACAACAGAGAGCATCAAACTAATGGTCTTATTGTCATAGACATATACGAAACAAAAAATGAGCATGTGTCAATGTTACCTAGTGGCAAGTAATTTCATGGAATCAGAAACGAATGTAATGTCTGAAATGTATTCCTCGTGGATCTGAAAAGTATGGCAGCATGAACGTTGCCGGGTATCCCATACCTGAGTGAGTGATGGTGAAAACGTCAAATTAAAAACAAATTCCAATTTAACTTCATAAATAAAGACACTCGGCAACAAAAATATTATGCTACAGAAGGATAAGCAGAATCAGTAAGCGCAAGTACTAGATACAAGTATTAAAAAGAAAACACAAGTGTTTGATTATCATACAATGACACGTGGGAGTAAAAGTGTAAGGTATTGGCACTGTGCAAGGATACCAAAAATGGACATGGCAGTCAACTAAACATCCTATGGGCAGTATTGCATAACAAAAACAGAAGTGCTGAGAACTATATAAATGAATTAGTGATGCTTACATGGTCCCAAGGTCCACATTTAAAATGTGGACCTTTTGACATTTTTCATGGGCTTACATGTACATATTTTCTGTTTTGCAAAATGTCCACTTCTTTTATGCTACAAAAGCACTAAGGTCCATAAAATGAACATGGACCTTAGGTCCACGGAAGAATTTGCCTAAATGAATATGGTTCAAAGAAGGCTCAACAAACTGCTAGACTGCTACTACACAGAACTTTTAGCAGCAAAGTTCAACCTCTATTATTTGTGGACATTAAAAAATAGATTTTCTAGTCGTTCAAACTTTGGCAATTTGAAATCAACCTTAACGCAGCCTTCATCATCTCCAGAAGCAATGGTTGACTCCGTTAAATTGACAATGCGATTAACAGCGGCACTGCATTGAATGGGGAAAAGCAATATGAAAATCCAAGTAAACACCTTGGTAGCACTCATGGTACAACTATTTGTACTACTGAATTACACTATGCATTAGGTTTCTTTTCTACCACCCACCCGTGAGAATTCTCCACACGAGAAATTTCTGCACCAGTTTCAACATCAGTAGCAAGTATGGAACAATCTGGAGATCCCGTTACGATTGCTGAACACAAATTATTATCGGATAAAAATTAAACATGAATTAGAATTTTCCATGAAAAATCTTAAGAAAGTATGAGAAAAACTAGCAAAATAGCACGGGTACCCTGTCCATCGTTGATAAATCTGACTGCTCTACAAGATTCAGTATGTGCTTCAACTGCAAACAACCTATAATTCATCTCATGAAAAAGACTCATCTACAGGTGAGAACTATACATAAAAAATAGAAAATGTGTATGTACTTCCAGATGTACCTTTGAGCTTGAGAATCAGGGGCGTAACCATGCCTGCGATAAAAAATTGATTTTGGCAGTATAATTTAGCTATGTTTTCTCTTTCTACGCTTTGGAGAGTGAATCAAATGAAGAGAATGAAGAACTGAACTTACAGAAGAAGTTCACCGCTGATAAGACCAGTGGCGACCAGATGTTTTGACGGATGAAAATCAAGATCGAAGGGAAGCTTGCCCAAATCCACCTCCTCGGAAGCCATTGATGCTAAGGCGGAAGCTCAGTTACCCGGAGAGAGGTTTTACTAGGGTTTCTGGGATTATTTTTTTTTCCTTTTTTTGATAATCAGTTTGAAAATGCCCTGAAAGAGTTTTCGAAAGTAATTTCAATTTTCTAACGTCTGATTGAAATTCCGGAAAATAAAGAAAAACAAATTTTTGTTGAGGGCCTAGACATTGGGTCAAATAGGTCCAGTGCCCTCGTAGTTTAAAAAATTACCATCAATCTTCTCTCTATTTTCAAAATTTACTAGTATCATATTTGTATGTTGCACGATTCGTTTTTACATAACTAGTCATTGTGGTCTCAAAATGTTGTATCCATATCCTCTATGATCATAAGAAAAAAAATAAAAGTAGAAGTAAACATTGAAAATAAACCAAAATAAGATTTTTATGTTTTTGTTCCCAAAATAAAAGTTAACATGCATTTACATTATCAAACATAGTCATGTACATTACCAAAAAATATAGTAATGCGCATATGTACAGTGTCACATTACTACAGTGTGAAGTCCTATTACAGAAATAAACACATGAAAGATTTATTTTGGTACTTTTATCTATGTTTTAATCCTATTTAGAGTAATTTCTATCTGATCATTTCTCGGAAATTTTTCTGGTGAAGATGGGGAAATGATGGCTATTTTTCAAATCATAGAGGCACATGTGTTCATTTCTTATTTTTCTTTTATTTTTTGTTTTTCTCTTTTTTTCCTTCATTTGTTTCTTTTATCAATCAAGGTTTTAAATTTATTTTAAATTTTTTTATAATGTTCTTAAAATTTAAAATTATTTTTGTTTCAAAACAAGATAACATATACTGCATTTATGCGTCTGAAATTAACCATTTTTATTTTTTGTTTTCCGAAATAAAAAAATAAAAACTTTTTTGAGAGCTTCAAAAAATAAAGAATGAAATAAGAAATAAAAAAATAAAATTTAAACGGTTTCCCCTGGGCTCTATGGTATCCCATTCGTAAAATTGTCGATTCCACCGAAAATCTATCAGGGGTCAACTGATTCACCGAAGCGACAAGACCTTGAAAGTTCCTTATTCAAAATGTTCGGGGAAGGTTTTTGGTAAGGATATCTATTTTCAAAAGTGGGAATGCTGACATGAGTAACGAAAAATCCTATGAAAAACATGATCGCCTGTGAGTGGAAGATTTTCTGCATTCGGTCAAATTACGGAAAGTGAATCAATTCTAAAGGAACGCCCGAAAGGCATGTCGTCCGATGGGTACACCCTACCCCTTATAGCCCTTGACAAACCCCATCATCCGTCACTGTCTCGAACATACCTCCTACCCTCTTCAGTTGCACCTCCCAAGTTTATTTAACTTTGAAATTAAATAAACTTGAAATAGCAACTGAAGAGAGTGGGGTGTGTTCGAGTCGGGGTGGGATGAGAGAGTTTACTGGAAGGTTATGGGATATAAATCGTCAATTTTGTGAACAGGACACTATAGAACTCTCGGGTCATCCTTGCTAAGCAATGTCAAGGAGAACGCTCCTTTTTGTTGATATCAAATCTTGAGGGTATCTTTTTTAGAGGATTACCAAGAAATCAAAAGATGTTAGAAAATATTAAAATATTAAAAGGTATTGAAAAGAATATTATTTTGTACGGAGTGTATATTTTTAGTACACTAGTATTTTAACCCGTACAATGCGCTGGGTAGAATCAGATATTTTTTCGATTCTATAAATTTTCTTTACTACATTATTCAAAAATCGAATAAAATAAAACATAGATATTAGAAATTAAAGGAATGATCTAACATTTAACATTTTCTAATAAAAATTCTCATATATAAATTTGGAAATAAGCATGTCAAAGTCTTATTTAAAGTAGAAATATTTGAAAAAGTTCGAGATATATTATTTTTTTGTGAATGTTAAGGGCTACCAGTGGCATCTAAAACTAATAGTCCGGGTACTTTAATCATAATGAAATCATCCTAAATAAGAGTAAAACATAGAGAAAGTATCAAAATAGGAGTTCCATGTTTTCATTCTCTAAATAGGAATTTGCATTGTGGTAATATGGTACTGTACATGTGCATTTAAGTATACTTTTCGATAATATACATAGTCTTTGATGGTGTAAATATAGCGGGGTGGGTTAACCGGGTTTGACCTGGGCACACTCGACCCGTAATATAAAACACACAACAAGAACACAAAATATGACCTAGACCGGGTAAATCTCCTCAGTCCGAATTATATTTCTTACTCTATCTCAAGAATGAACTTTAGTGAGAGAAAAATTGGATCCCTCCTCTATCCAATATCATCATATTTATAGAGGAGGATTTGTGACCTTCCCCTATTCATCCATGGACAAAATAAGAAGCCCGTGGGAAGGTCACTGTACATAATCAATCTACTATTCAATCAATGAATTTAGCAACTACAAGCCAAGACATGTACTGTTCAATCAAAGACTATAAATGGATATTCTCAATCCAATCAGCCCTGCAAAGTGACAAATGTTCCTTTCACTATTTGCCTCGTGAAGGCCGAACGG